ACCGCAGACGGCAAGGCAGGCTGCACAATGAAAGCAAAAGGCATCCATCCCAAACAAAATAAAACGGCTTGAAAAGTGAAGTTGCTTTTTTAATCAGATGCTTAGGGGTTGAAAGACATTCCCTGTTGGAAAGAAAAGGGCGAGCATAGAGCAGGCTGGCAGCTTTCCAGGCAGTGGACAATATTGACTCTAGAATAAAATGCGTTTTGCTTAGTGCTCGCCCCAGGGCACCAGCCTCCCTGCTTTGGAATAAATCATGCAGGCAGGCGATTCCCTGACACGGGCTGACCCTCGGGTGCTGACCGTGTGCCACAGTACCCCCTTGCCACATGGACATGGAGCTGGCAAGGGCTCTGCTGCTGCCGCGCATGCAGCGTGATCAGAGGCAGCACTGAATGACCCCACCTGCTGCTGCCTTGGGCGTCAGCCCATATGTGATGCGTACTACACCTGCTCAGGATGTTTTTGATGGGATGCAGCTCACCTGTGTGCTCCTGGAGGGCAAAGGAAGACACCAATAACCAGGTCAAAAAAATTGATTTGTTATCTAGGGCTCTTTTGCCACTCTAAAATCAAGTCAAGAAGCTAAAGCTGTGATCTGGAAACAAGCCTTCAAAGAACTCCACTTCAACACAAGCAGCAGAAAGGCTGCTGTTTGCATTCCAAGGAGGAGCAAAGAAATTAACCCTAAAACCATCAAAGCTGATACCAGTTGGTAGTGCCTTCTGGATGCCTCTGGTTAAGTGCAGTGCCGTATGGTTCCTGTAGCCCCATGGGAGGCTGAGAGGAGAAACCTGGGAAGAAGCCTCTGTGCCAGTGAGTGATGCAGCAAGCCGGAAAACCAGGTATTGAGAAGATGTCTAGGATATAGTCAGAGCAAAGTACTTCACAATTGTTCACACTGAATTTATCCATGAGTAAAGAAAACCTGACCAACCATGTCTTAACTTTCAAATAAAAGGCGGAGACAGAGAGTTCTAATTCTATGCAGCACTTTAAAGGATCAGTTGCCTTCAGGCCTGCCTCTCCTCGCCCATATATTTCTACCTCAGATTATCTATACCCCTTTTTAGCACTGCCAGTGCTTTGCTTACATGGCCACTGAGTCTTCCCTGATGCTTCGTTGCCAGGACTTGTCAAAGCCACCAGATCTACCCTCTCCCTGGTACAAGTTTAACCTCTGCAAGTCATGGGCCTGAAAACCCCAGACCAGAGACCCCACTGTGAAAGTCTGTCAGTAACACAGATGTCTGCCAGCAAATTACGGCTCGAGACAGCTCAGAGGCTTGTTCAGCAGAGGACACAGCTCTTAAGATGCCTTGCCAGCTACAGTACGTGTTTTGCAATGGTTGCTCAACCACAATGCATGTGGGGTGAGGGTGCAGGAGGGGCAGCTTGCAATTAGCTCCCACCTAAATGGGATTTATTTTAGATGCATTTAATACAGTGGATTTCTCATGCCAACTGCCACTGCAGAGAAATCTGAAAGGGTGGGAGAGCCAGAGAGGGAAAGGAAAGGCTGGTCTCAGAGCAGTTACAGGCAGCCTGGACCAGTGATGCAGTACACATTGCTGGATCAGTGGTTGTCCTAATGCTGTGGGGAAACTTGGCAGCTCTGCTACCACTGTGGGCTGTTGAGACAAAGCCAGTGTGGAAACTTCACATGAGAAAAAAAAAAAAAAGGCCAAATGCATTATGACAAACCCAAAGACAATAACCTTTTGTAATCCAAACAATCTGGGCAAGCCAAGCCATTGTTGAGAATCTGAAAAGCTCCAGAGCACAGGAGAAGGAAAAAATGAAGTAAAAAAACCTAGCCATACAGCTTCTAACAGAAAACACAGAAAGTGTCCTGAATTTTAAAATAAAACAGTTCATTTTCCTGAGGAAACATCAGAGGGGAGAGAGTTTACACCCTCTCACTAAAGGATTCAGTAATTAAGTGTCAGAGTAGCTGTTTCTTCCTAACATCACCCGCACCTCTCTACATGTACATGCTAATGTCAACACATGGTGAAGTCACTGACAAAAAAAAGGTTCAGACAATTGATCTTCTTGATTGCATTGTAAGTGATAAAAGTTTGGCAGTGTTTTAGCATACCAAGCTCTGGCTGGCCAAAGCTCCATCTGACGTTTTCTAGAAAATGAATTTATATGCTAAGTTATTCTTCATGATAGATACTGTCCTTAGAAACAAATGCAGAACAGACATGTCCTCGGCCACTATGTCCTGGTGCATCACTTAAATCTAGGAATTAGAAAGGGAAGAGAGCAGAAGCAAAACCCTTGAAGCGGAAAACAACCACTGTGAAACACCAGCCACGTCAAACCATCACCTCTGAAGGCCCACCAAGCTGGAAATCTAATGTCTTGTCCACAATCTCAACTATAAAAATTGACCTAGACTTTTGGATAAATCGAAGCAGATTGCCTCTCCTCTGCTTAATAGATCACTGCACACAATTCAATGGAAAACAAGACTCCCTTGGGCAAACACCCTGCAAAAAGAAACGGATCCTTATTTAGAAGACCTCTGATTAAGATAAATTCATGGTGATAGAGCAAAATTCACTCACCATTTCATTGTCCTGAGGCAAGCAAACAAAGAGGTAACTGATGCGCTAGCTGTGGGATATGGAACAGCTAAAGGATTTCAATTCTTTTATTTAGGACAAAAATGTAGCTCCCGTTTTCCACTTCCAAACATAAGTCAAAAGGAACACTAGGGAGAGGTAGCCTCATCACACTCTCTACACGCTTTTGCTTGGCACAGGCCACCTTCTTCTGGGGCAACACTGAGGTGAATTCAGAGTTGAATTTTCAAGTAACAGTTTAAGTATTTATTCTGTAATAACTTCTTACAATTAGGCGTATTTGTACTATACTGGTGGTAACTTCTGCATTGACTATATCAGAATCAGGAACTGGATCAACATGTATCTTACACTTCAGGAAATGCAGAGAAATCAACAGGAAAATCAACTCTCTTCTCCCCACTGGCATATGCTAGAGTTAAGAGTTCATGCACCAGTATGGAAAAACAATAGACTGAATCAAATCTGCTATCTAGTTAGACTTACCCAAGCTCTTCTACCTTACTAATTATTACACATCTAAAATTTGCATTCCTTGTTATTTATCTTTCTTTTAATGCCAAACAGTATTAGCTATGCAATAACCATTTTGAATAAGGTGAAGTGCTATACATAGATACATAAACAAGGTACAAATTGATATACAGAATTATCTCTTAGTTTAATTTTTAACTATTCCAGCCCTGTATGCATCCCAACATTCTACTAGTGATTCTGACTAGAAAAAAAAAAAAATCACAGTAAGCAGAACTTCCACTGAGCTTTTTGACATGGCTCTCATGTTCATTTGCAACCTCTAGTGTGCACTAATAGTTATTTTTCCATCTTCGTGCTTTACTTGGTATTTATCAACACCAGATTCGATCACTATGATGCCCATTCATGTAAATAACTTAATTCTTTACAGTTCCTCATGGTCCTTCTTGATTATTAGGAAAAGAGCTGTGGTGTCACCTGCCAATGCTGCAACTTCAACCATTCTAACCTCGTTTCCTTTCCAGACCACTAACCAACAAGGGAAATGCAAAACAACTCCCACAGAGCTGGAGAAACCCTCTCTGCCTTCCAACCATAATGAAAGTAATCTGCTCTTACCCTCCCCTAAGGAAGTTCTTGGCCCATGATACTCCTGTAGCTCTCCCCTAAATTAGAAGGCTTCCTTTCCCCCCAACCCGTTCCCCTTCAATAGCAGCTCACATCTTGAGAAAGAACATTTGGAAGTCTACATGAAGACATGCTTTACTTATGCCTTCAGAGACATACGGGAGTTTAATAAGAAAACTCCCTTTGCAGAAACCGGGAGAATGTCTCATGATCTTCCAAATGTTTTGTTGTTGAAGTCCTCAGTTGATCTAATGTTCTCATTCTGTTTCCTATTCTTTTGCTCATGCCTGTAGCCTTTCTAAAATGTGAAGTCATCGTTCTCAGGGTGAGACTGCGTATTCTACTAGCAGTTGTCCAAGATGATGGACAATGACGGTTATTCCCAGATTAACATGTTCTGCACAAACACTGCAGATAATATTAAACTTAGATCATTATTCTGCCATTAAAACATCATTATATTTATGGCCTATAAAGTATGGGACAAATCAGAAGCATGTGGGGTATGGTCTCCAAACAAAAAAAAGTTCAGGCTTTTTAACCCTCTCCATTCTTTCCCTTTCTGAAAGGACATTTGCTAAGGATGGTAAAACACAAACAGCATGGAAGTGAAGACTATTTGCATTTATAGGGCCTTTGCCTTTATAGGTCACACACAGAGCCCACAAGAGCAAGGATTAGGGCTTCTCTCAGTGAGTGGGAGCCACATGAGAAGGAGTCTCGTGAACAGGCACAGAACAATGAAGACAATTAGCAAGAGACAAAAAATCATCGTTCTTCCTGTCTTCACTTCATTAAGTCAATGCTGTTCATTCAAGCCTTTTCATTTTAAGCTGGCTATGACTTTAATTCGGATAGGCCCATTTCTAAAAGAATTCCTCAAGGGTTACCCAAATCATGGGTCAGCTGCACTGGAGTATGGGAGGCAGCTCTTCCCTTCTTCAAGCATTCCTCGGCATGCAAAGGCATGAGGGCTCACTGATCCAGATACTACAAAAAGCTATTTCCAAGACAGAAAAGTTGTTTAGTTTTCAGGAAGATCCCTTGGCATGTCCTCCCCTTTATGTGTTTGCTCTGCTTTGAGTGCTCCCACATTAAAATGAAACAAGGTCCTAACTCTGGAGGCAGGTCAACTTATTTAAAATGTTAACTTCTAAAAGAAAAATACATCTGAAAGAAGGAAATACCTTTCCCTTTAGTACACAGGGGTACACCTCCATGTTTGATGGAGTTTACACTAATCAAAGACAGGTACAAAGCAGGCATTGGTTGGGAAGAAGGCTGAGAAGGACACATTCTTACCAGCCAGTCATGTTGAAGTCACGGTAGAGCATCCTCTTTCCAACTTCCTTGCGCTGCACCCTCCGTGGAAACTCTAAATGTGTGAACTCATTTCCCAGCAAGTGGGGCTGCATGTAAGCCTGTGGGCAGAAACCAAGCCACAGATACCACACAGACATCATAAAAAAAGACATCATCTATGTTTAACGAGGTAGCATTACCATCCCTTCCCACTCCCTTCCCATTCACATTTCCCCCCCTTCCTTCCTAAACAAGAAAGATTCTGAGCTCCGCTTCAGCCAACAATGTGCACATAACACCAGTTCTGATACTGCTGGTGTCCGGCAGCAGCCTTACAGGAAGCAGTCCTCTTGCCCTCAAAATCCTTCACTTCTCCCTGCTCCTCAACATTTGGGATCTCTAAACTACATGCCATCCACTGACCCTGAAGGAGACTGCAGGGCTTCATAAAACAGAACCCATCTCCTTTTCTAAGTCAGCTACTTGAGAAAAGGGAATGACCAAAGGTCATATCCACGGAGCAAGCAGAGACTTTGCAGGGGTGCATGTGGAGTGAACCTCAAGCTTTTGACTCCCAGTTAGGCTATGCCAACACACAAAACCTAATATTACTACCACACTTTAACTGTCACTGCCTCATGAAAAATGTTCCCTTTTACCTGCTCAGTGTGCTGCACCCCATCACATGCGACACTGCAAATAAACACAAGTTGCGGAGCAATGTCTTTTCTTGTTTTCTAAAACCTGCGTCCTTCATGCAGAACTGACTTTAAGAAAAGCAGCAGTAGTTTTGTGTCCTAACTGCAACTAATGTTTTTGATGGTGTCAGCATTCAAATGCTGCTGTTGCCCTTTCTGGTGTGCTGCTCTGCAGATGCTGGGAGGCCTCTTGGCCAGAGCTGTGCCCAGGGCTCATGTTCTGCAGAGCTGACTGTACTTGAGAGCATTGCAAGGCCCTTTGTCCACTGCACAAATTTCTGGTTTGGATTTATACACAGATCACCTGATACAATAGTGTAATCCTAAACATACTGTATTACTTATTTCCAAAATAAACCTCACATATTTTTCTTTAATATTTGCATAAATAAGCCTTTCTTCCTCCCTCCCCAGTGCCACATTGTGAGCAAGCTCTTCTGAAGCCACAGTCAAACTGGCTGGGGAACTGAAAAAAGTTGTGTTTCTTAATCTTTCTGCAGATAACTCTTTTTCCTTTTCCAGCCAGTTAAGGCAATAAAGTCTGCCTTATCTCCAGCAGCAGCTGCCGTCAGGGCAGACCAAATGAGCTGGCTTTAGTTTGTGGGTTTGTCATAAATCAAGCACTCATCAAAGGTGAGCGACAGGAAGCAGCGGAAGCCCTTATTGATCTACCTGGCAGCTATCATGCAGATAGTTCACAATAAAATATTTCCTGCATTTAAGGGCTGAGCCTGCTCCCATTCAACTTAATAGGAGTTGGATCAGGCTCAGCACGGCACATCACAACACTAACCTTCCATCAGCTTGTCCCTGTTCTCATTGCCAGACATCCTTCCAGAAAACACCTTGAGCTCAGCTGAAACAGGGCGAGTGAGATTGCTGTGTGTAGCCAACAAGATTGCTTTCAAGAGGTGGCTCTCAAGCATGCAAGAACGATCTTGACACTGTGATCCCTTCCTGGAACTGGAGCTCCATCAAATTCTCTCTCCGTGTACAGTTAAGGGAATTACATTTATTTCCTGCAGTCTCGTCAGCCAAGGTCCCCTCCCCCATCCAAATATTGTTTTCAAGGACCCTCTAAATTGGATCACTGTTCCTCATTACAGAAATGGCTGAGAAGCACTACTGACTTTTGAGAGGTCTAGCAATATTAGTCCAGATGAGGCTTTTCATACTTCCATAACTCTGAATTTTTTATATAAAAGTACACATGAACTTCCAATTTTTATTTATCTTTGTTCTAGTCGCAAAAAATATGGAACACCCCTAATGATTTATTTGATGTATTGCTACACACTGACTGCAGAAAGCTGGGCTTTTTTTTTTTTGCTATTTTAATTCTTTCTAGTCTATGGTACTGTAAACAATGAAGTCAGTCTGTTTGAAACTGCAGTTCAGTTCACTATTAAAAATGCACAGCCTATCTTGATTAAATCATTACAAACCACTTCTAGCTAAAGACTACTGTCACCGGATTACAAAACAAGAAGCCTTATTTAAAGCAAAAAAGACTCATACCTGACATCAAAATGAAGCTATTTAACCTTTGAATTATGAGACTACTTATTAGGCTGGATCACAGGTCCAGAAGAGAAAAAATTACAAGCTTTTATAATTTTTCCCCTTGAAAACAAGAATTTTCTTTATTGAAAAGGTAAAGCGATTGGGAGAGACTGCATTTCATAAAGATTTACTCAGATGGAAAGTCTGAGGTCACAAGTGAAATAAGATTAATAAAGCTGGCAGAGTTGCCAGTGGACTGCTAATGTTCAAATAAGATTTCTCTTCTGCAGCCAAGCCTCGATGCTTGATTTACAATCCAGGGATCTTAACTTGATTCTAATATTTTTTGGCGTCAGTGGAACAGAGGGAAAAGAGCAATTTGGAAGCTTCTGGTGCCTGTGAGCTGAATTCTTACGTGAAGAAATAGGGATTTTTGTTGGGCTTCTCCCCACTGCCCCCTAATTTTCTGTATTTTTTTACCCTTTTCTTTTTAACAGTTATTTTTGGTACTTCACTGGTGATTCTGCAGAAAGAACAATCTTCTACTATAAAAGTCAGCTGCAACTTCCAGTCAGCTTGTTGAGAATTGTTCAGTCACTACAAGGCAGGACTCTTTTTCTCCACCTCAATCAAACTATGCTGGGCAGCAGAACCAGGAAATAAATAAAAAACAAGGCTTTAAAAATCTACAGATCTTTCAAATAGATATACAGGCAGACGCCACAAAATCCCGCCAAGTGACCAAACGAGAAACAAAGCAGTAAGTGAACTATCAGAATTTCATTTCTGATGAGGCACCATTTTCTTTATCTTTTAATTTGTTTAACCTCGATTTGCAAGAACCTCAGATCAGAAAAACCATTGCAGAGAACTTAAGATTTAATGAAGAGTGACTATCAAACACTTTGTATATCCTTATAAGGTATGTTCAGACAATATTTTTATTCTGTGTTATGGAAGTGGAGTATTTTCCATCATTTTTCTTTCAGAAGCTATCACAGTTTTTTGGCATAAATCTGGCATAGTCTGCACCATATGTTTTTGGTACTCTGCCATTTTATGGTGTATTTTGTGGCTGGATGTATTACATTCAATATTAGTTGTTTAAAATGGAGCCTGCTCAAGGAAATATTAGTCACATTTCATTCATTTACTTCCTGCTGTTTCCTGGTGATCAGCAAAGCAAACATGAAATTAAGATAAACCTAGACTAACACAGCAGTGTGTCAGTTAATTAGATGGCAGGGAACACCGCATGTATCTTATCGTACCTTGATAAGGTCTGCTGATGCCTTTTCCAGCTCCTCCAGTATGCACTGCTGGGACATCACCAGCACTAGCAGTTTCACTGTATTCTGTGTTATTTTCAGAAATGCTGTTTTCCCCTATGTCCACTATATCTTACAACTTTACCCTCTTATCATATTGTGCCATTTTCTCCAACAGGATATTCTACTATATGGGACTGCTGCTCACAACAGCATGCACAGCAAAATGCATCCATAAGTTTTGTGAATTACTCAGCCATTATAATATGGACACGTTTAAGACAAGCAGAGGTTAAAACTAAAAGAGGTGGTGGTAGAACAAAAAGAGGAAAGTGTGAGCCAAATCAGTCCCTGGATTGGTCTCTCCTTTTATGACATGCCAGGACCCTTTCCATAAATCCACACATCTCTTTTGCCACAGCATCATGCAGTGTGTCAGATGGCCAAAGCAATCCTATGCTGGGTGATGCAAGGAGCCACAAAGAATTAACATGCATCTGACTTGTAATTGAAGCACTGAACCGACATTTAGGAGATCTAGGTTCATTTCCTCTTCAGGTTGGGTTCCCCAAGCATCCTTCAGCGGGTAAGTTAGTATCACTTAACCCTTGTGTGAACAATGAAATAAGAACAGGTCTTCTTCGAATCCATGCTTGTCTGGGCTCATGAACCTTTGTCTGAATAGTGCCAAACACAAAGAGCATCTACATCTCACAGCCACTAATGGCTACCCAGTCTCTACGAGTGGTAAAGCCTAGACTGGTAGAAGCAGTGCACTATCTTTGGCCTGAGCTGTGAACTTCTAGGGCACTGCCTGACTACACACATGGACACAGTATGCAGTAATACCATGCTGACCTTGCATGACATATTCAAAGTGCAACTTTCATAACTAATAGAAATACACCCATCTGCAACACATTCATACATCATTCATTTTGAACATGTTTTCCAAGGGAATAAGTAACAAAATCTATGCCATTTACTGTTGCAATTAGACTATCATGACTGAAATTAATAGTCTCCTCAGAAGATGAAAGGAAAATTGCTTCTGGCAGTTGTTGCCTGCACAACTGCTGAATGTAACACAGCAGTTCCCAGTCAATACTGGATTTTGGTTTTGCTCAAGATACACTGATATGAAAGCCAGGGCTTTCCTGGAGTAGGTGTTGTGTGGAGCTCTCCTGACACAGTGCTAAAAAGAAAAGCCAGACACAAAAATTCAAAAGAAAAAGGAGGTTCATGAATGCCCGCCCATGAAACGGAAGCAGTACGGTGCAGAAGCCAAAGGACCAAGGGAATACTGGTGCAATGCTTTCATGCCTTACATTGTAAGAAGTGCTCTCTGACTGAAGGATCAACTGCCTTCAGCAATACTCTCACAAGACCCCTGACACAGAAGTCTGCCTCTGGCATATGGCCTACCTGAAATCTGAAGCTGTATGCTGTCCTCCCACTGCAAAAAAAAAGGATGCAGGTGGAGACAGAGGGATGACCATGCCCAAAGCTGTTCAAGTCATAATGACCAGGTAGACAATTTGTTCTTCTGAGTTTGCCATGCCGGATACCTATGCCCAAGGCCATTCTTGGATACATGTTAATAAACTTGCATTAAAATGGGAGCTGTATAGGGAAAACATTAATGTGTCCATCCCCCATTCCCCCAGTTACTCAACCAGTACTAGCTGAAGCACAGTTTTGTCCAAGACTAGTCTGGAGAACTTCATACAGAGACGCTCACATGATATGAACAACTCATTATCCTGCAGACTTCTTTGCACATGGAAATAAGACCCCAAGAAAGAGGACCTAAGCTAACATCCTGTGTGGCCAAAGCAAATAATAGGCACTAAAGGCAGAGGAAAGCTTATTTGCCCTGACTGTGCTAACAGTGTCTACTGCACAGGGAACCAATGCTCAGAAGCCTGCAGGCTGTAAATCCATACCCTCCCTTTCCCTGTGCAGTAACTTCCCCACAGCGAACAGTATCTCTGCGTTTACCAAGTAAAATATTAATGCTGAAATGATTAAGTGATTTTCTTCCTATTGTGCAGGAAGAGCAGTGCAACGCACCTGAAACAAAAAAAAAAATAATCAGCTTTAACTGCAAATAAGAAAATAAATCCAAACTAACTAACTTTCAGATAAGAACAGCAGAAGAGAGATGTTGATGGTGCAATAGACTGATAGCAGAACCTGAGGACAGTCAGGGTGAGTAAGGAGAATTATTTTGGATCTAATCAGCAAGTCAGATGCAAGCTTTGGAGTGTAATGTTTATGCTAACTTCGTAAAAAATTTGGGGTCTTTTTTTTTTTTAACTAGAGTAAAAAATATTACTTATGAAATGTTACATTTGAAATTCTCTCTAATTTTGTTTCACGCTCTTGCTGTCCTGCATGTATTTTCTTTGAACATGATACACACAGACTTGGCATATTTGTTACATGCAGAATTAAAATAAACAAACAAAGGTAAAGGATATTTCCAAATGAAACAGCAGACAGGCTTTTCATATCAGCTGCTGTTTCCAAACATAAGCCAGAAAGGACATCAAAAGAGAAAAAAAACCCTTGTAGGCAATGCTTTATCTGTATTTCCTACAGAAGTAGCAGACTCCCTAGATACTAAAGATACCTTTTATTTTAAAGGTAAACAAATTATATTAAATGTAACTGAACAGTAAATATTTATTAGGCCTCTATTCCATTTGGCTCTCTGAATACAAATACTCCCAAAGCAGTACTTCCTCTGAAATCTTCAGCTTCAAGCCAGTCAACCAGACTAAAAATCAAACATGACAATTGTGGAAACATTTGCAATTTTCACCTCTGTCTTCCACCACTGGCATTATGCCTAGTCTCAAACCACAGTGCTTGGGCCAATCTGAAGATAAGACACTTTAAGACCAGGCAATGCCACTAGACTTGCCTGTCCACCTCTTGTCAGGGAAAGGTAATAGTGAGCCTCTCTTGGCTTAAGCTTAAATTTCTAAAAGGAAAAAGCTGACACCAGAAGAGGCACAAGAGAAATCTCTCAGCCACATTAGGAATGGTGTTCTGACAAACATCCAGCCAACTTCAACTGACTGATTCGACCATTGATGAAAACCTCAAAGAGAAACAGGATTGTTGCATGATAAACACCACCACGCATTTTGACTTCTGTTTCTTGGCCAGCTTATTACCAACTTGGTGTATAAAGCATCCCACATATCCTCAGCTAGTCATCCTGTCCCTTTATGGGTGCTGCTACACTAAATAAAACTAGTCTTTCTTCACCCATCCTATCTTGCAGCTACTAATGCTCACTGACAACATCTCAAAGTTGGATATCTTTTCCCTGATTGATATACTATTGGCATACTATTAAGAGCAAATGACTACAACCCTGAAATACCATCCATACACACACAAAGAGCAGCACGCAGTATTTTATACTGTCACACACTAAACACTGGGATGGGTTGAAATACCTCTGTGGCTTGTTAGCTCTGTGTCTGAGCTCTCATTATACAACACCAAGGACCTGCTGAAGGTCTGCAACTGAACAAGGTACACAAGCACAGCCATGCTGATTGATGGCTTTCATAGAAGAGGTAAGGCTCTTTTCATTGGGATTTGCACCACCAGGCTTTTCCCACATTAAATTATGGCTAAAAGATATACATGGTGGGTCACTGGTGTTCAACAGGCACATGTTCCTTCACTGAGCCACAAGAACTCAGCAGCATGTGTCTGAACCACAGATATTACTGGGCAATGCTTGTCATCAGCAGCACCTGATATGGTCCTCAGATCTCTCACCAGATACTGAAGTCGCTGGCGTTCGGTCTCTGGGGTGAATTCTGAAGACATTGGAATAACTTCACCATTTCGGATTATTATAGCCCTGTAACAGTAATAAAACATCATCAGTACAGAAAAAAGGAAAAAAAAATAAAAATACCCAGAGAACCACAGGGTATGGCCACACTCTTATTCTCTTCAGTCATGGTAAAATAAAGCCATTTCTTTTCTACTGAAGCTGTCAGCAGAACAGGATAATAATTCCTGCCCTGCATCCTTTAGGCTGGATAACAAAGTATATTTGTATATGCCAAGTTCATTTCAGAGTTTAAAAAACATCCAAGCAACAAAGGCAAGAGTTATTTCAGTTGATGTCTACAGGGTATCCTTATTAAGTGAAATGCAGACACCCAGAGGAGATGCTGCAGAATCACTGATTGTAGAACAACTCTTTGCAGGTTTAAATCCCAGTTGTGGCTGACACTGTCTAAACTACTGGCTTCAAATGACTCATGCAAGCACTTTCCAATTATTGATTGGTCATATGTCATGTCAGAACATTTCTACTCCAGCAGCAAATGGAAATGGCAAAGCAAATCCTGTTTAACACAAATTTAACTGGTTACGTGCCGGAAGATGACAGGTAATGGAACGACTACAGATCAGCCAGATTTCACAAACACTACTGCAAATGGCAGAGGAAATTCTCTCAAACATCTGCCTATTGCCTCTTAACAATCTGCTATGCTGCACGAAAAATACAGTCAGATTCTTCCCTGGTGTAATGCCACTGGCTGAAACATGGTCACAAGAGGGAAGAATTTACCCAGTCTTCCTACCGCATTCTGCAGTCATATATTCACTCACAGGACTGGGTTCTTTTATCTTTTCATTATTTACACAGCTCTGTAAGTACCGTAACACTTGGTGCTTTTGAAGACCTGGATGAATTGTATATCATCCTGAAGATTTTAATGTCTGTTTTGGAGCTGTTTCTCAACCATCAGTAGATTAATTCATTGTTTGGATAGTAGCAGTGTACCAGCTCTCCTCCTCTATTTACACAGGCTTTGGTGTAGATAAAACAAGAAACTGTCACTTGGATTCCAGTTTCTATATGTTTTAAATGGCCTCCTGTGATCTTTTCATTCCCTTGATGTGATATTTACATGCTCACTTACTACTCTTGATGATTTGATCAATTTGATGGCATTGCTTCCATGCCGGGTATTCTGATGCAATGCATCCAACAAATATGGCAGATGCATGAAGACTCTAAATTCAAAACACAGGCATCTTGAGATAACCAGCCTAGGTACAAACCAGCTTTGTAAAATTAGTGGCATGTGATATCTTTCCAAATCTTCCATATATGATATTGAACGAAAATTGTCTCCAAATGATCATCTGCTATTGCTGGTATGCAAAAGGAAGGAGCATCATTAGAGAGGAAAGGAACTGTTCACATGTTTGAGATTCATGCAGCAAAGAACAGACAGGTACAAGATGGAGCTACAATGGGAGAGGTGGGAAAAGGCTCTACTGATGAGGGGAAAACAGCTCTGCTTTGACAGATAACAAATTTACTGCGCCAGGACTTCCAGCACTCCCTTGCAAATAATCCTGTGTAGAAATTAGAGGTGGCAGGAGTGCAACCTACATACTGACGGCTCCCACTGGCCCTCCACTGCTACAATTAAAAACAACACCGTGTGCTTGAAACAAGACAGACGTGGTGGTTGTAACTCATTAATTTCTGAAGAGAAATTTGTGCAGAATTTTTGATGGCGTTTTTTTCCTTTTCTGCATACATTACAGGCTTACAAAAATGCTGGTCCAATTAAAAATAATAAAGGTTTGCTTAAAATTTTTCTTTTGGGTTTCTGAGACAGTCATTTAAAAATTAAACCACTTAAACCTCTTTTCTGCAACAACACCTTTGCTTTTATAGTTTTGCAGTTCCTAAGGTATTCGGCTTTGCACCAGGCTCATTTACTCAAAGACAGTGAACAGTTTTTATAACCTTTCCATACGTAATTTGATTCACTTGAGTAAGCCTCCATTTAAGGGGACTGTGAGTTTAGTACAGAGTAAGTACTCTGGCAACAGTCTAGAGTAGGCTGATCAAAGGAGCTGATCAGACACTAACCAAATTTTACACTCTAGTTTAACAGAGTCATAAGGGATCTGCTGATTGCATGCTTGTCTGAAAGAGCCAATATAAAAACACACATTGATATAACTGCAAGTGCGTCTGGCTAATTTTCTAAGTATCCTTTTCTTCCCCTTTAATCACCATTTCCACAGGAAATCCATATTTTAAAGACCACTCAGACCAGTCTGGGTTCACCTTTTTCTTTGTGCACACTGACATACTTCCTATATACGTTGATAGCTATCATTCTCACTTCTATGGGTAGAATTGGGCCCTGAGGGACTCACATCATATAAAAAGCAATTCAGAGGCGAGTGGGTCAACCTTTCATGGCTCAACTTATTTTCACTAGAAATTGCAGCCACCTGGGATGAAAAGCACAACTCAGAAGAAGAAAACATAATCTTTGGAGGGGGAGAACTAAAGCAATGCTGTCAATACCTGATAAAACAGAGCCTCGGTTTTATGGTTTTCATTAATGTTTTCAGCAGTTGGACTTTATTCAACTTGAAAGTTACAGCTGCTCATAAGAGTCAAATGATTTGATCCGAGGAATTAGACAGCTCTAGATATGAGTAACGGGAGGGACGCAGACATGCTCGTACAGGTTACTAGTCTGAATTCAACTGTGGTGGGCTCATTACCCTCTTACCAAGCTCTTTACCTTTCCGCACCAGCTGCTCAGCAATCTCATGACAGCAAAGGGTATTTCTGACAGCCCAAGTGACAAAAATGGGCTGTCATTCATCAGCCATCTCGCTGGAGAGGCTGGGTGCAGAAGTGTGGTCTGAGAGCCACCCTACTCAGTGGGTTTTTCCCCTGTGATTGAAGAGATGCCGAATCAGGCCCTAATTGAGTTTGGAGACTGAACTGCCCTTTCCACGACCTCGCAGTGACAGAGCTGCCAAGCACTGACTGAAGGCTTTTCCCACCAAGCAACCTCCAGAGCCCTGAATTCAATAGCCCAAAGTCAATAACTGCTCACGGGGAGGGAGCCTGGCTGACGCAGCAGCCACAAACAGCCCAGCAACTGCTTTTAGAGACCCGCTCTATGTGGCCGTGCAGGACAATTAATTTTGGCTTTATGCTTCCTAATGGACTAAGCAGCAACATGGTGTTATGTGAGCATTACTGCTTCTGCCGTGCATGAAAGATGCATGTACACCATGAAATAGTGCTCTGAAAGCATTTAGCTCCCCGTGCATTGTGGAAATATGAATGTATTATTTTATACTAGAATACAGCTGTCCTATTAAACTGTCAGAAATAGCTACATAGGAAGCAGGAGGAACTTGAAGAGATGCAGTGCCCAGAGAGCATCTGATTCTGCCATGTTTAATAGTGACATTTTAATTTCAGCCACACTGGTGAAACACATTATAGCAGAGCCACAGGGCGAGCCTGCCAAAGGCAGACAGATGATTCATGTTTGCAGGGAACAAGTATGTCAACACTAACCAAATATTCTCTGATGACAAGGTTGCTTCAGACCCATACCAATCATTAATTTATACCACCAATGAAGCAGTAATTGAGAAACAGAAGTTTTTTTGGCAGCCTAAGAAATTGAGAGTTTCAGATCTGCAGCCCCCTCAGTGCATTGCTCTCCAAGCTCCGTGGCTCTGATGCCCTCTCTACACAGCATCATCCACAGTGAGCAAACAGGAGAAACCGCTCTAAAGTCTTGAGGCCACAGAGGCCATTAAGTCACTTATTTTGATCCTTTCTAAACAAACTATAGATTTCCTTTCATCTTGAACCCATCTATCTAATTCTCCACCCACATGAACTACAGGATTGTACTTGCCCCTGCATTTCACAGATATATGCTCTGCATGACAAAAAAAGTATGTTCGCTAATCCGGAGCTGATAAATATTAAACTAGGAATATATTGGGGGAAAAAAAGTCCTCAAAACACAGCTGAAGTAGCCTAAGCTGGAAGAAGCAAGAATCAATTTTCTATCTCTCCTCAAGCTACTTCACTGAGTTTTTCAATTCAAGAAGCCGTGCCCTGAGTAACTATGTGTAGAGCAAGAGATGTGCCAGCGCCTCGGAGTGTAAGGTGGGACTGGCAGTCACAGCACATCCTGCAGTGGGCTATGTCCACTCAGTCACAAGCAATGAAAAGAAGCATGGCGAACTTAAAAGGCTGCATGTAAATCTACAGAAAATACATTTATCTTCTGGATTGACATAAACTACATAGTCCCTGATGATAGTCCAAATTCACAGAGAACCTTATGGTTATTTTCTATATTCAGATTCAATACTTTAAACATGTATTTGGTGCTTTAGTATAGATCCCCTTTTAAAAAATGTGGTGAAGGAAGGAACAAAAGGGTAAAAATCTGCTGCTGTGTTTTACTGCTGCTGTCACACTCAGGATGTAGCAACAACACTGGCTTAAGGAAATACCAATATATCAATTGCTTTGCATTTTTAATATGGATAAAACAGCCACCTCTCCTTGAATAAAGCAGGGTTTGGGTTTGTTTTCTTTTTTTTTTTCTTCTGTGGAGAACACTATCAGATGAGAATTGCACAGCATCCTTTTTGAGTTTCTTATGAGAAACAAACAGAGCGAACTCATACATTTTAGAGGAAGCTATTGTTAGTTACTCTCATTTAATCATAGAGAGAAAGAAACACTTTCGTGAACAAGGTCAAAAGTGTAATTTCACTGCTGTCATGGGTCTGTTGGGATTCTAGCGCTCAAAACAAAGAGGCATCTCCTACTGTTAGAAGTATTCAGGGTACACCCTGATTCCATTACACACTTTTTCAGCCAAAAATTATTTGAAACACAACATTAAACTGCACATTTCTACAACAGAGGATAAAAATCTGGTAAAGGTGACAAAGACCATTTGGAAAACCCTTTTTGACAGTGTATATCAATTCCAAGCCACAGGGAGGATGTATCTATTTTGCCAAAAGGTATTAAGC